TACATTGACCTAAGAGTGCATAATTGTCGGTATTCAACAGCGGCCCCATCGACAGATGTTGCCACCCCCCCCCCCCCCCCACCCCCAACTATTTGATTTTACAGATGCTCTCCGTGTCCGGAGAAAAAAAATGACGTTTCAGATGTCCAAGTGTCTTTTCAAGAAATTGTTAAACCCCCCCCCCCCCCAATAAAAAACATAACCTTGCTACGCCCATGGAGGTACACCATAGGCCCACTCAGGCCAACGCACATGCCAAAATACATTGAGGGAGATTAACTGAAACACACCAACTTTACCAGTTAATTCAATTTCAAACGGGTTTTACAATCTGGGTAAATATTATAATTTCAGGAATGTAGCAGATGTAAATAGCCCTGGTTCAACTACAACATGTCATGTTCTGCGGGGCCTTGTATGGCAAATCATAGGATGTATTAGTTGGCCCCGGTTCAAGTACAGCGGTCAGGCAAATCACATCCGCTCAAATATCTTAATGGAGTATGCGTCAGCGACAACTACGTCACCAGTGGGTGTGAATGCCATTCCTAACGGATTGAACAACCCTTGAGCTACCGTTGCTACGAATGCACCATTTGAATCGTAACGTTGCACTTCAGCACCTCCGAATTTGCCAGAATGAACAGCGACATAGATGGTCTCATCATCATCGCACAGGACACCAGTTGGCTTAGCAGCTTTGCCATTCACTAATGTCTTGACCCTGAACATCTCTTTACCTTTAAAGTCAACGCACAACAAACTTTGGCCCTCGTGCTTTGTGAAGACTAAACAGCCGAAATTGCTTATTGCCAAGTAAATGTCAACCATGCTATTTGAGATGCTTGCAATCAACGATCCGTCCAGGTTGTGGACACTGATGACCTTTCTCCCCCTGTCAGCGACTGCTACTCGTTGACTGTCAACAGCAATACCAAGGAGGTTACTCTCTGATTGCCCATCGGCATCGTCAGCAGAAGGTGTAAACTCGCGAACAAAGTGGAGCTCAGTGTCAAAAACCTTCACTTTCTTTTTGTCCGTGACGAAAAGCAGATCATCATGGGTCACGGCAACGCCCAAAGGAGCTTCCAACTGATGCCTAGCATCTCCTTTAGCAACCGATGTTTTATACCTCCCAGTTGAGCTAAACAATGATAACCGTTTCAAAATTATGTCAGTTACTACGATGTCCCCGTTTCTGAAACATGCAACAGCTGTGGCTAATTTGAATTCCTTGTCACCGGTACCTACTTTGCCGAACTCTTCCTTTAACTGCCATTTTTCGCTGACACAGACCTCCCCAAGCTCTGCATCATTCACAACGTCGTGACATCTGACACCGATGAACGACGGACCATGATTCGCTGGTTCACACTTGAGCTCCTTCTGGAATTCCAAGTTGTGCACAGAGTTGTAATGACTCGAGTCAATGACTCGACTCGAGTCCGACTCGAGTCACATTTTTTGGCGACTCGACTCGACTCGAGTCCCGACGGGTAAATGACTCGACTCGACTCGAGTCACTGCGAGCAAATGACTCGACTCGACTCGAGTCCCTCATCAGAATGACTCGACTCGACTCGAGGAAGGCTAATAAGACTCGAGTCCCAAAATAAAAGCAAAATTTACTTGCAAAAAATATTTGCAATGACTTACGCTGCGCCGTTCCCGTTGCCAGTTTTTGTTCACATCACGTTAATGTTCGCGAATAATGTACGTTTATATACAGCGGCAGTCTGTTTCCTTCCTCCATAATGAAACAACAAACATACACCGTGTCGCGGACTCCCACCTTGTGGTTCTATAGCATGTAATGCTAAACCCGGAACCAGACTTAAAACGCATTTCTCAATCCGTGGTTTCATCATTGGTTTCGGGCGATTTTGAAGTTCTTGGTGGAACGCTGGCTAAATTCATGTCCCGATTTCACACACAAAAATGGATACGGACGGGCCCACCTTTAAATAATCAGAAACAGTTTTGTATAATGCAATTAGGTTTTAACATTGTCAGCGATCAGCGAACAACAAAATCTAGACCCGAAGCCAAACCAGTTATAAGACCGAAGTTTCACATCTTCTTATCTGTGACGTGAGCTAGCAATGGAAACTGTTGGTTGGGTACCATACAGCATACTTTATGTCTTTGGATTTCCGTAATAGACTGGTGACTTGTATTCTTTCTCTCTTGTGTTTGTTGCTTTTTATTGTAATTAAGTGTTCAAATATTTGTGACTCGAATTGACTCGAGCTAAATACTTGACTCGACTCGACTCGACTCGACCACACTCTGTGACTCGACTCGACTCGACTCGACCTTGTTGACCTAATGACTCGACTCGACTCGAGTCACTTCTTTAAAATGACTCGACTCGACTCGAGTCACAAAAATCAGTGACTCGTTACAACTCTGGTTGTGCATCACCTTCGGCTTGAGCTCCAAAAGCTCTAAATCATCGGCTTGACTCATCAAGTCATTTACTGCTGTGATGGTCTGATCTGCGCGTTCCATCTGGTCACGGTTGTGCAAGAGTGCCTTTTCGTAGTCACTGTCTCTCTCCTGACAATTTTTTTTTACCTTGTCGGTGAGAAGCTTCGCTTTGATTCTGATTTTAGTGATCTCCGCCTCTGCTTTTGCATCAATATCACTACAAGCCTGAGCCAGTTTCTTTTGTAATCTTTTTTGTGCATGTTTGATTGAGTTTTCAGTAGATCTGAAGTGTTGCCTGCACTTCTCAAACTTCTGCAGTATGTTATCGACCTCACTGCGGAAGGACCTGATAGTATCATCAATCTTTAGCAAATTGTGCTCTGTCGACCGATGATCTAATGCGACACACATTGAGCAGATCAAGGTGTTGCATGTGTCACAGAAGAAACACAACTTCTGGTCATGGTGGATCGTACACATTCGGGTGATGGGTTTGCTTTGCTCTGCTGAAGGCATCTTAGATTCCTGCCAATCTCCCAATGAAACGATTTGATGGTCTTTGGTGGACTTGACCATCCCATGCGCTTTCCGGCATTCCTGACAGAGGTTATCACTACAATCAAGACACCTCCAAGTGGCCTCCTTGCCTTCTCCACAGTCACATGTGGCGGTAGGTGCTGATGCTTCTCCTAATACCGCCTCCTGTTGTTTGACTTCATCGACAAGAGAACTTAGAAAGAAAGACGAAGCTAGACTCTGCAATCCTCCATCAGGAACTTGCGTCTCTCCCCTGCAGACTGGACAACTTCCCTGATATGAATGTTTGGCTTGGGTTTCTTTAACGGGTATCCGAAAACCCGTATTTTTTTCAATAGGGTACCCGGTTCCTTTACTGCTCGTAAGTGCACACCCCTATGCCCCCATTTCTTTTACCGCACACCGTACCAGCCTGGAAATCTGAATGTAACAGGAGATTCATTTGTATATATTGACTGCATGCTAACTCATTGGGAGTTAAAAATAATAAAATGGGACTATAGGCCCTAATGTAAAACAGGACCTTAGATATAGACTTAGATTTCAGACTTCGATTCAGAAAAGAGAATTCAGTATGTTTTTCTCTAAAAGCATATGTTTATTTCAAACGTTGGTGGGAAGTAGTCCGAGTAACTTGGACCCAACTTATCACCTTTGTAACATTTGGACATGGTCTGGCGATCACCAGACCATGTCCAAATGTTAAAAAAGGCGATAAGTTGGATCTAAGTTACTCGGACTAGGTGGGAAGGAACATCACCTACTCACTCATCACATGCACTGAAATGCTGAACATTCCTTCAAATCTCATGCATAATTTTCCTGGTAGGCCTTTAGGCTATATTTAACATGTTCAAAAACAAAGCGAACGCACGAAAAGAAAAGACTTGTGCAAAATCCAGCCAAAATGCTGTATGTAATGAACTCACCTACTTCAACTGGATCAACAGTTAGCTGAAGTTTTCCACCACAAACATAATACTTCCGCCAAATGTAAAAAAAGTATGGCAAAACTACCATCAACTTGTAAGTTGTAAACCTTAGGCTTATAATGTGTACATGTCAGGCCTATACTTTATCCTCATGAGATGAATGGTGCAACAACAGCTACATTCCTTTACCCAACACAAGCAAAACCAGTCGCTATTTGTGTCACACAGTACCATAACAAAGGAACACTACGATCATGGTCTTTATTCAAGTTCAATATAGACCCACATACGAACAATACGAACAAGCACTGAAAATGACATTGATTCAAGGTCACAGTTCAAACAGGCAACTCTGTCTACGGAAGCACAAAATGGACATTGCACAAATATCAACACTGCATGTGTTTTTATAACTCCTGATGCATGTATACATGTATACATGTTAAGATGCCTACCAATACGATTTTACATTTTGAAAGTTATGAAAATAAAAAAAGGAGGGTTAAAAATAAGAACTGGAAACGAGGATGTGTTAAAGTATCCAAGATATAAAGCTAAAAATCAGGAAATATATACCCCACGTTTCATTCATGCGTACAATTGAAGTGACTGTTACCGATTGCAGTAGAGAAATAGCACATGTTAGGGGTAAGGTAGTTGGTTTGTAATTGGGCGAATCCCTGAATGGGTGCGTGCAAGTGTTGACACGACGAACACATGCGTGCATACATATCATTCATTGGTTCAGTGCGTGACATTGGGTAGCTGCAATCAGCTGAATGAGAATGTGTCTCGGATGCTGATTTTGGGCACAATTCAAAGTATAACTTTTGAATTGAAATCGAGACCCTAGAATATTGTTTCTGCTGAAGAATACACAGCATTCACAGAGCTAAATCTTCATCAAGTTGTTACGCTACCGTCTTTAGATATTGAGCACTTTTGTTCAGCTTCAAACGAACAAAAATGCACATATGACAAATGATCTACCCTACCTTTAGTTTTCACCGATGCAAATTATCAATTCCATCATATTTCAAAGGAAACAAGAGACAACTGTTTCAATCAATCTCTGACCTGTGCCTTTCTCTTTTTTTTCAGGGCAAAGGTGAAATCCTGACATACTGGCTTGAGGGACAGGATCCAAGTTACAAGATCGACAGAATCAAACCACCCAAACAAAACTTGTAAATATCTAGCATTATCCCAACATCATCTGCAACGGAAGTTACAAAGTCCACTAAATAGCATTTAGATCAGTAATTATTTGTAAAGAGGCAAAAACCATAACCAGCAATCAATCTGAGCCAGAAATTATACCACAGTGTGTGTAGGTCTATTTGAAAAAGCTAACAACAAATTCAAATTAGCACACAGTTTTGTGTTCACCAACAGTTTTGTTGTTCACGAGAACAGCTTTTATTTAGCAACTTTAAGAAAAAAAAGGTTTAATCGCACTTGTACAATAATTAACTTTGATCAAGTCACTTATTTACAAAGACTGAAGTATTTTGAAGTCGTATGATAATCTATTACCATGTAGAAGTTCTAACAAAAATGACATCAAACAATCTAAAAAATGTTTTCATCAAACAAACACACTTTGAGTTCAAGCTGTTGAGAGTCGCTACTTTGGTATTAACTTGTATTCAAACTTCACCCCCAAAAAAGAAATGTATACAACATCGAAAATTACTATGTAAACTATAATATATCAGTCTAGTTCAAGAATCCAAAGTTGAAAGAAGAAGCAAGGCTTTTATAGATTTGTAACAAAGATGACACTTGAATTGTTATGGTGTTGATAAGAACAAAATCAGCATTGTTATTATACAAAAAAGCGTGACTAGACACGAACTTTAAATTGACCCGTGTTAACTAATGCAATATGAGGTGTGCAGCTGCCAAACGCAAATAGTAGAATGTGAGGACTCGGGTATTATTCACTTTTATAAATAAAGCTTTAGCAATTTTGGACGCACAGATTTTTATAAATTGGCATAGAAGTAAGATGTGTAACGTGAGAATGTATACAGCAAAAAATAAAACTTAATCAGACACTGGTGTAAATGGAGGATTTTCAATTGTTCCTCTTTACTTTTCCTTTGTTTTTACCTGAACTTTTTCGCAACAGCTCTCATTGGTTTTGTACACGTTTTCCAACAAACCGAGGAGTCCTCGATTTGGTTTCTGTCCTCAATGCATCGATGATATTGCACGTGTTCGTCCTCGATTTGCACCATTAACATGCACAGCATCCTTTTACGAAGCCATTTTGTTGTTTTGTTTTGGTTTATTCACATTCGGAATTCAAAGTTGCCAGATGGATTCCAATTCGATTTCTATGAAGATCAGCTTTTAAAAAGAATATTTTGACAAAGTTCGCAGTGAAATCAGTCAAAAATTTTATTGTTTTTTATTTCAAAAAATCGATGATTTTTGCCCAAAATCTTTAATATAATTATTGGGTGTTTGAATGTTAATTGATGCTCCTCCTACCTTTAATAGAATTTCTGCATAGTTTGGAGAAAAGTCATTTTTCGGCCAAATTTTATTTAAAAAAAGTGGGTCTTTTTTTTCAATTTTGGCCATAAAAGAAATTGCTTCAATTTGGCAGGAAAGATGCCTAAAGGACCCTAGAATACATTCCAATTCGATTTCTGGACAGATAAGCTTTTAAACAGGATATTTTGACAAAAGTTTCCGATAAAATCAGTCAAAAATGTTGTTTTTATCCAAAACTCGATGATTTTTGCCCAAAATCTCTAATATATTGGGTGTTTGAATGTTGATTGATGCTCCTCTTACCTTTAAAAGAATTTCTCCATGGTTTAGAGAAAAGTATTTTTTTTGGACCAAATTTCATTAAAAAGGTAAGGCTAACCTCTTGCTGTTTTTTTTTTTCAATTTGGGCCAAAAAAAAATGAAATCGCTTCAAATTTGCTGGAAAAATGCCTAAAGGAACCTAGAACACATTCCAATTCGATTTCTGGACAGATAAGCTTTTAAAAAGAATATTTTGACAAAAATTGGAGGTGAAATCAGTCAAAAATGTTATTGCTTTTCTTCAAAATCTATGATTTTTGCCCAAAAGCGTTAAGATATTGGGTATTTGAATGTTTATTGATACTCCTCTTACTTTGAAAAGAATGTCTGCATAGTTTGGAGAAAAGTCTTTTGGGGGGCCAAATTTTAGTAGAAAAGTAAGGCTAACCCCTTCTTGGTTTTTTTTTTTAAATTTTGGCCAAAAAACTATGCAATTGCTTCAAATTTGCTGGAAAGATGCCTGAAGGACCCTAGAACGCATTCCAGTTTGATTTCTGGACAGATAATTAAGCTTTTAAAAAGGATATTAGGGATATTTGGATATTAATAGTCGCCCCTAGAGGTACTGATGACGATTCGAGCATGTATAGGGTGATTAATAGTCGCCCGTAGAGGTACAGATGGCGATTCCAGTGTTTAATGTTGTGTTTAATGATGTTTTATTGTGTTTAATGGAATCTGGTTTGGGATTTTTTTTGTCGTGATGCAGATACAGAAAGCCCCTTTTGTTAAAGCCTCTTAGAATCTAGTATCTACAACATAGTTTGAGCTCCAGCTCTATGTCGAATTCCTGATGAGCATTGGAGCTGGAGTTACTCAAGCTAGGGGGTTTCCCAAGCTAGAGTTTCTCAAGTTACATGATCGCCAAAACTTCGAACTCTTGTAGACTTTCTAAACTACACCAGTATTGCCGTTATTTATTGTACGGTTGTTGTTTTTTTCGTCCTTGTGGGTTTTTGTTTGTCATAGTTCTCGGCTGGGCTACCTATGAAGACGAGAAGGCCATCAAGGCATACGAGGCGGTCAAGAAGACCTATGTGTACAAGAACTGGGCATGGAACGTCAAGGATACTGTTCAACTCGCTCAATTCTTCGGAACTGGCAGATACGTAAGTCAAAGAAACTATACAAACTAGCTTGATGAAATTAAATTAAAGGTAATTATACAACATTTGCAAACATCCAAAAACAAAAACTGCCATATTATTACGAAATATATCACTTGACTGTAATGTGTAAGTGAATAATATTCTCTCGAGCATCCTATGAAACCATTTAGGTGTGATGTCATTAAGAAAAGTGGAATTTTTGAATCCATTTCCAACAATGGTCGGCTGAACATCGTTGGGGGAAAAAAAATGACTTTTTAAAAAAAAATACTGCCCCTAATTCACCAAATTGAGTTAGTCCACAAACCAGCTAGTCTGGTTCCCTGACCTGAACATTCCTCGACATCTATAAATTGGTCCGTTTCATATAAAGTAGGGTCAGGGAACCAGACTACAAGAACAGCATTTTTTCTTGTTTTTTCCCCCCAGCATCTATGAACATAAAACTTTAAACCGCTCAGTGTAACAATATTTGCTAAAAATACTAACCCCGAAATCCATCCATTTCTGAAAATTACAGCAAAAGCAAAATGTTGTATATCTAACTATAATTCCGGAAATGTCTGTCTGTCTGTATTTTGATTATCTTCAGAACCGGACACGGCAGGCGCGGTTCTAGAACAAATATTTTTGGGGGGCTAGCACAGTGGATCCAGAATTTTTTTCAGGGAAGTGTGCTGAAATGTGGACCGGTTATTTTTTTTTGACACTTAGGCCTCCGAAAATCAATAGGGGGGGGGGGGGGGGGGGGGGGGGGGGGGGGGGGGGGGGGGGGGGGGGGGGGGGGGGGGGGGGGCTCATGCCATATTTTCAATGGGCAGCACCAATAAAATCCTATTCACACTATATTAACGAATGCACCCTTGTCACGGCTATTTCTTCTTTTAGGGGGAGACTGTTTGCATGTAAATCACAATCCTTCTTTTTTGCTAATGCAACTTTTTTACGGCATTTATTTTTGGAGGGCTAGACAAAATTTGGGGGGGGGGGCTACAGGCCCCCCCCCCCCCAGCCCCCCCGTAGAACCGCGCCTGGGACACGGTATGAAGTTGAAAATCGGCCGGTGTATTCAGTGGCGGATCCGGAGAGGTTCATGCCGGGGAGGCGCAACGGCTCATTCGAGTGAAAAATGGCCTTATTTTACAAAATTTTGGTCCTGGCGGGGGGGGGGGGGGGGGGGGCACGCCCCGTAGCAACCCCCCCCCCCCCCCCCCCCCCCCCCGGATCCGCCAATGGTATTGCTCGGGACTCCAGAGTGTGCAGTGCCGAGTTTGAATTTGTTTGGATGAGTGGTTCTCGAAAAAGCTGCAAAAAAGCAAGATTTTCTGAGGCAAATGCGGCAGTATTTATAGCCTAGACCACCACGCGCGCACTGCCAGCCTTTGGAATTGTTACGTCATGTTTAACCCTAAAAGGGCCGGGTTATTTTTACCATATTTCAGGGGCGGGAGGTGGGGGGGGCAGATTCCCCCCCCCCCCAAGATCTCGGCCATCGGAGTGACGAAAAATTGAAACTCAGTACATGCATAGAGCAACTCTTCATAAACATACCCAAGAAATTTCATGTCTATAGGTCAAAGGGTTTTGGAATTATGGCTAATTAACTATTCATATGTACGAATGGCAATTCTACTCTGTGTACACGACGTATACGGGAAAATTCAATTTGCACGGTGCATAGCGCTGGAACATTTTTATGTATCAAAAGATGCGCAAGGCTCGAGGCTAAAAGTCATAACGGCTCGGGTCGCAAGAAAAATTGTTGAGGGGGATTCCGCCCCCCCCCCGGCCCTTTTAGGGTTAAGTGAAAGCGTGCATGCTCAATATGACGCAACACTGGAAAAAGGAAGGGCACATGCATTGTAGGGAGATACCATTGTCCAGTATGGGTGAATAGCACTGCATACCATATGTTTCCGTTTATGTACACGTACGTGGTGGCTGCACGGGCACATTATTTTTTGCAGTCGACTGAGCGACCATTGTAGGCGGTCGACTGAGCAACCTTTCTGCAGGGTGATACCATTGTCCAGTAGGGGTGAATATCTGTGCTATTTTTGCAGCTTTTTCGAGAACCAATCGCCCAAACAACTTCAAACTTGGCACAAACTTTGACATGAGTGTGCGTTCATCCTGTCAAAACAACACCATTGAATCGCGTGCGTTGTTCGCACGAGCTGCTATCAAAAACCCTGCAAGCATGCAACCAATACCAGCGGCATAGCAATTTGCGCTTCCCGAACATGCACATTTTAGACGGGCACTGCACATTTTTTTTCAATTCTGAAATGCACTTTTTTGGGGTTGGTTCCACTTTTTTGACTCGCCCTGTATTTGTGTCAGGTTTTCAACCTCCGCGCCACTAAAATCTTTACATGAAGTTTGACTAAAAGTCCAACTGCAGCGAAAATCCACAACGTATGCTGTCATCACATGCCAGCCCCAGCCTATAGACTTTGTGCACAGGTACCCCTCGACGCTTATAACGGGAGAGTTGGGGGAGACCAATGGGAGGGACATTGTGGAGCGCTGTGGTCCAATGGTACGGTGTTCGACTCGTGCTGTACTGCGTGGTTTCGAACCCTGATGGGGAACATGGTGCTTGTGTTCGTGGGCAAGACACTTTTCTACAATTGCCTCTCTCCACTCAGGAGTATAAATGGGTACCTATGAAGGTAGAGACCAGAAGGCGCTGATCTCAAGCTGCTGCAAAAACTGGTCTCATGGCCTGACGAACAGGTGTAATAATTGTGAAGCGCTTTGAGACCTTTGATATAAAGCGCTAAGCACCACATTATTATTGTTACATTCAAACGCATTGCAGCTGACGCTCGCGTGAAAAAGCTACGGGTTGGTGCAAATACAGAAAAAAAATTATCTTGCGTATTTCGCGCCATATGCCCACGCAGCAGTATGTGCACGCGATGTGGCTCGCCAACTAGGACTCACGAAAGTTGTCAAAAAGCGCCCTCTGTGTTCATGGATGGAGTCCATAGGTTTATGATCGGGCCTGGCTAAGCATGCACTTAAAGGTGCAGTCCATCATTTGTAATTTGTGCATTTTGTTCGTTTGAAGCAACAAATGTGCTCAAAATCTAAAGAAGGGTGCTAAACAACTAACTTGATGAAGTTTCAGCTCAGCTTCAGCTGTATATTCCGAGAAAAACAGCATTCTAGGATCTCAATTTCAAATGAAAAGTTGCTGAATCATGTTTTGAATTGGGCCTGAATGCAGTGTCCGAGACATGTTCTCACTGAGCCGATTGCAGCTACACGATGTCGTGTAGCAACCGCGCGCGCGCGTGTGTGCGTTGTGTCAACGCTTGCACGCACTTCGCCGCATAAAAAAAAACGAACTACTAACGGAAATTTCCAACGGTGCATCTTTAGACACACCGTTGGAAAGGTCTTCTTTTGTTGTTTTCTTCAAAATGACAGCTTGCCAGAAAGAAGAATCTCACAGGGAGTTTAGTCCCCTTACTATCTTTCAACTGAGTATGTTTTTCAACAATAATTACATCAGTTACTTTTTGGATAGCTGCAAATGATGGACTGTAGCTTTAAGGCCAAGTACATGTATGAGATGCATGAGATTTCTTCAGTTAGATTTGGGGCTTCAATTGTGTGGCAATTTCGTCTATGGTTTTGACTTAAAGGTCTAAATGTATTCTTAAACCACCTTTTCATATACGCCTTTCCATTGCATAAATATAGTTGCATGTATAGTTTTATAGGTACCAATATACAAATACAAAATTGAAAAGCAGCATAGTGTATTCAATTTTTTTCAAATTGTCATCTCAAATTACTGCAAACCAAACCTATCCCCGCATTTTCACCATTAACGTCTTGTTCTCAACTTGCCAGGTCGTTAACTTGTTGAATGCCTTGTACACGCTGTTCGACGCCATCATTTCCAACTATGACGTCTACAAGGTAAATATTCCATATAACCAAGCAGATTGTTTAAAACCAAACTTGCAACAAAATTTAAATCACAGGACGTTAAAATGTGCTATTAGCTAATAGTTCCAAGTTACATTAAGACAAAAAAAAGATGTAAACATGTTTTCTATTATATCTGAAAGCAAAATTAACCAATAATGAATGATAACGTCTTACAAAGGTTGAAACCATTGGCGATGCCTACATGCTGGTCTCCGGCCTACCGCTCCGTAATGGCAACCGTCATGCCGGTATGATCGCCTCCGGTGCATGGCATCTGCTGGAGGGCTTTAGTAGTTTCATCGTGCCGCACAAAGAAGAGGAGAAACTCAAACTCCGAATCGGTATTCACTCAGGTAAGATCATTGTCTTTGCTTGTAGTCGAGATACTCATGATGGATCGCAACTACATCACAAGTCTATAGTCACAAGTACATCACAAGTGTAGTCACAAGTACATCACAAGTCCAGTCACAAGTACATCACAAGCCCAGTCACAAGTACATCACAAGCCCAGTCACAAGTACATCACAAGCCCAGTCACAAGTACATCACAAGTCCAGTCACAAGTACATCACAAGTCCATTCACAAGTACATCACAAGTCCAGTCACAAGTACATCACAAGTCTAGTCACAAGCTAGTACATTGCCCGGCCACTGCGTGTACACATAGTCCCCTGGTGTACTTGCGTCACACACAACGAACGGTGTGCGCGCATCAAATGTATGTGTCCCGCCCACTGATCTCTATATAAAGACTGGATAGTGGAAATGCATACAACATTCACACGGTAGACTGTGCATATTGACCAATTTGCCCCGGTCTCACGAAGATGGCCGCGTATAATTCGAATGTTCTACGCGTAAATACGCGCACGTTGTATCAACAGTTGACGCGCATTTTGGTCACGTACACATATTATGATGTTCTAAAAGGGACACATTTCCGTAGTGATTATTATTTCAAAAACGCCGAAAAAGTGATCTGCAGCATTATAAAAGTAACCACGACGTTAGAAAAATTGTAGTAAGCCTTGGTCAGTGGTGGTGGTCAAAGTATAAGTCAAGTGAACCGCGCCGCGACGTTACAAAAGAAATCATGCTGTCTATATAAGACGGCAACTTGTCCTTTGTAGATCACCAGCTGGTCTCACCAATATGGCGTCAAATTCATTCATTGTGCGGCTCTTTATTAGCTATCCAGTCTTTAAATAGAGATCAGTGGTCCCGCCCATGGGACGTCGTTGCTAGGTAAAAGGGCGCCCTCTTAGTGGGTGCACGGAGCCCACAGAAACAGAGGTATCCTGCATTCATTGAAATTGATGTTTTTGCATTATCAAGCACCAAAGCTGGTGCTTGTTGCACACCGATCTATCCTACAATAAACAATAACATAATGCAACAGCGCACTTGCATCGGGCAAAGGGTGTATGTAACACCCATAGAGCTATATTACATTACTAGAGTGCTAACTCATTCCCCATTGTGGAGATATTTTGAAGCCATCCAAGGTACAGACATTTGGAATTCATATGTGCATGTTTGTGGAGCCTAATAAATCACACAGAATGGATTTAGGATAATGTATACTCTAAATGCAAGGTGCAATTACAACATAAGTAAACAGCATAAGCATGTTTTCTGTGATTTTGATGGTTTCTGTGATTAAGACGCATTTGTGTAAACTTGCGCAGAGCAAAGTGAAATGCTCAGTTACTGATTGTGTGTTTCGGTTTTGCATGTATCGGCTTCAATATAGAATCAAATGCAGATATGCAAATAGCCGTATAAAAGCTGTACAAAATGTTGAGTTTTCCATAGGTTTGTGCACAAACATGGATGTGCCCAGCAGGCATTACCTTGTACATGAGTTAGCGCTCTAGTAATTTATTACATCTCTATGGTAGCACCCAATTTCAATTAATCATACAAAAAATTTCATGAATTTTTGAGCAGAAGCTTTTATTTGATTTTCTTAGCATAACAAATGGATTTTTTTCTTCGCCAATTTTCATTTTGCTTTTTTTAACAATTTATTTCCCCTCCCCCCAACAATCTAACAGCGCTCAAGATTCATGTGAGTCCTGAATGCAGACAGGTACTGGAAGAACTCGGAGGATACAATCTAGTAGAGAGAGGACTCGTTGCCATGAAGGTACGGCATTTATTTTCATTGCGTGGCTCCTTTCTTAGGGTGCGTTCGATTAGCTCAACCAGGTCGACCCAGGGTAGCACCGTGCCGTTCGATTAGCTCTGACGTCATTCTCGAGGCTCACCCGGGTCAGCCACCACAGACCCTGCTCATGGAGCAGAGTCACTGATGGAAATACGTTACACACATGCGCTGTTCAATTCCACAAAATGGACTAATATGGCAGAAAAGATCAAGTGGACCCAAAAATCAACTTTATTTGAAGCCTAAACATAATTATTTATTATCTCATTGCGACTTTAGAAGCTACAATTTCAGCCCGGCATTTCTACTTATTTCGATTGATGGAAAAGCAGAAAATCTGAAAATAAGACTCGGTTTGAAAAGGGCATTTTGTCAGTGGCTACGGCCGCGGCTACGGACGTCACGTGAGGATCGTGATGGCCCACTTTTGAGCATTTCATTAGCACAGCTCTCTTGGCAAACCCATCTGCCTTTAGCTGAGTCGATCTGGGTGAGCTGCTCGAATGCACCCTATAATTGAATGACAAACAAATTTGTTTGAATCCCCGAACTTGAAGATATTATACAAGTATTGACTACTTTGGTTGGTGTGGTAAAACTAGCCTCCTGAGACGATCCAAGGGAGGCCAGTTTTACTACACTACAAGTTGAAACTACAAGTGTCACTGCACTACAAGTTCAAAGCAGTCAATATTTGTTTTATAACGCCCCACCCAAACATTCTGCTTATTTTTTAGAGATCACTGATTAATTTAACCGAGATCCCATAAAAGTATTCTTTAATTTCTGTTTGAAAGTGATTGAAAATTTCCTCGCACTTTTCCAAATTAACCCTTCATGAAATGTTTGAACCTAACTGTGAAGCGCGTGGGAACGAAACGCACATCATGCAAAATCTGTAATATGCATGTGCATACACTGCTGTTGCTATGTTGGTTGCTACATGCATAGAACTTTGTCAGCCTTGAATAGTCTTTTTAGTGGTTGTATTGTCTTTTGGGCTGTGTGTAACGGGGGGAAAAAATGGCTCACTAAGAAAACAACTGGTTGAAATGATTAGGTTGCGATTTACTTTTAGAAACTGGGACAAAACAAATAGAAAATCAAGGAAACAAAATTAACTTCTCAAAAATGTAATTTAGTCTTATTAAAAAATATCCTTCACATGCAAAAAAAACCAATTTAAATCCTGAATTAACGAACTAGTTTAAAAGAAAATGTCAATCTGGATCACATAACGAATTAAAAACTCAAAAAGGAATTTGTCAAGGTGTTAAATTAACAATTGGATTAAATTTTAGGAGAATATTAGGCCCAAAAAAAAGGCTCCGGTTTCTGGTACGGAGCTTGCCCAAAAAGTGGTGCGGCGACGCGGCTTTTTTTCTTTTTTACCTGTTTTTTTTGCTTCAAATGTCGGCTGGTGACTGCAAATGGTGCCCGACTAAACTTAGTGCAAATATTATGGGAGACCAGAGAGGCCACATAAAGCTTATTCTCGATCATAACCCCATCTAAAAACACGTTAAAATTGTGCAGCAGCAGGATTCCAGTCAAACCAGTGAGTTTGGCGGTTTTGAGACATCATCTTTCATTGGAAAAAAAACTTTTTCATTTTGCCGATGCGCATGGCTATGGCGACGGGCGCACAAACCAGAAACCGGAGACTTTTTTTTTTGGCCTTAACAACTAAGGTATTAAAAAAATGGATTGACAGAAAAAATTTGACCAGGGGGAAAAAGCCAATGTCATACATAACTGTTCCAGTACCAACAATACAAACGCTATTGATCATTATTGTAGTTGAGTACTTTTTTCCAAGTACAGAATACTGCCCAGTCCTTCGGTTACTGAGCACGAGTACTTTTTCTTCTGATTACAAGTTCAGGTCTCCGAGTACGAGTATTTGTACTTCTAAGTACGAGTACAAGTACTTGTATTCCGAGTACGAGTACTTCTATTTCCGAATACAGCCATACGGCAAATGGTTCATTGTGCATAAATGTCCCAGGCCCAGTCAGACCAATATACAGACCCACTCACGCCTAGCTGTTAAATGTGTTTGTCCGGACGTACACAGAAAAAAATCAGCAAACTTTGATGTCTCTGCAAGTAAATCAACCATTTCCAACTGAAAATATTGATAATAAAATAAGGCCGTGGTAAGTCAATCTATACCAGTCCGTCCATGTTAACTACGGAAGCACAAAATGGACATTGCATTAATGTTTTGTGTGATGGTCATCAGTTTTGTGACCCAAGGAGTTAACAAAACATGCAAAATGTACAAAGCTTTGAATTGAATATTTACATAGTCACATGCCATTGTGTTTCATATACAATTTACTTCTAAAAAGCGAATATTGGCAAAATACAGTTCATTAAGATTTGTACATCTTAAATGTCTTAAAAGACATTTTATTTTAGATTTAAGACATTTCATATTACCTAACATGGAAGTTATGGACTTATTTTTTATTGTTTAACATTACCTTACAGTGACGACCTTATTTTACAACATTGCATTAGTAACTAGCATTTAGTGAATTGAATGCTGAATGTTAAGAATTTACGGTGCCTTCGATCTTAGAATAGTTTGTCAGCAAAAACTGTTATACGGTTCAAGAATCATTCAATGCTTTTTCTCTTCTCCACTGTTAATAACTAGATTTCTCTTTCCAGCTTTAGTACTGGAGAATACACCATAGACTCACACATTTGTGGGGACCGAAAACGCTGTGGGGACATCAGAAAGTCCCTATAACTCAGTCCTAATTTGCCTAACAATAAAAAACTTCCCCATAACGTGATATAGGCCCAAAGCCGTATCCAGTGGGGGGGGGGGGGGGGGGGGGGTGGGGGGGGGGGCACTTTGCCCCTACTGGCGGATTTATTTGACAATTTTTTTTGTCAGCGATGATTTGAATTGTTTATAGAGTTCTTCTGAAATCAATCCCACCAAAGAAAACCCGCTCAACAACCATTACAATGCACCGGGAAATTGTCCAGATAATAATATAGTATACA